AATTAATTAAATCGATAAATTAAAATATTAACACTTAAAACTCTGAAATTATGGAAAAGCATATTTAGAAGTACTGGAAGTTGCCCAAAATTGTGTGCGCGCAAATTCTTCGCTCAGGACTCGGCGAGCGGGAGCAGGCGGATGGTGGGGGGAGCGCTCATTCTTCCTCGAGCCGGTCTCCTATACCGGTCTCTTGGAAATACACCTCATATTCATTTCCAACCTTCTTCTATTTCTATAGTTATTTCTTCTTTACTTTCTTATTTCTTTATATTTCATTCTTTACTTTCTGATTTATCTCTTTCCTCATTTCTCCTCTACTTATATACCTCTATTCCTTACTTTTTAACTTCTTTATTTCTATCTTCCCTTCTGTCTTCTCGTTCGCTCATTCTTCCTCGAGCCAGTCTCCTATACTGGTATTTTGGAAACACCCCTCATATACATTTTCAACCTTTATCCTTTTCTATATTTATTTCTTTATCCTTCATTCCTTGTTGTTATTACTTATCCCTTTCCTTATTTCTTCTCTATTTTTATAACTCTATTCCTTACATTTCTATTCCTTGACTTCTTAAATTCTATCTTCCTTTCTAATTTCTCATTTCACTCTGTTCCCTCTCACTTTCTATTGTGCTTATCTTACACTTCCTATTCCTTTCGTCGGGTCGAGCATATTAATTCAAGTAGTCATTTAAGAGTAGTCATCCGGTTAGTGCAGCTAGACTTAAGACCATGGTGTCGGGGGTTGCCCTTCCGCCTCATCCGCTGAGCAGGCGTGGTTCCTTACGTCTAACCCACTGGGCTTGCCCGTGGGAAGGGACGGAGGTTGTAGCGTTAAATATCGTCCTTCGGGATGTCCTAGCGTGCCCGCAAGGGTACTGCCGGGTGCTACGCCCGCGGTCTTTCGTTGCGGTGAATCTTGATTACGGGTAGACCTTTCGCGTTTAACTTGTCCCTTTCGCGTTTAACTTATCTTAGCTTTTTCGCGTTTAACTTAACCTTCCCCTCTTGTGCGTTTTTCTTGTCCCTCGACCCGACTTCCTTTCCTTCCTGAGGTTTTTCCCCCCTAGTCCTGTGCGCGAAAGCCGCAGGACTCGGGGATTTTCCTCAATAAAAAAACAAAAAAAGAACACGGTCCCCTATGGGGCCTCGGAGGGGTCGTAGCTCCCTTCAGGAGAGGCAGGACCTCACCTTTAATTGTACTGTTATTACAAATCTTTCGCGGGCTGTATGTGTATGTCTGTATGTATGTCTGCACTTTGTATACTATGTACTTTGTATAGCTGTATGTATGTCTGTACTTTGTATACTGTATCATTATTGCGTTTGTCCAATAAATTATCTTTAAACACATATATACGTTGATATTCTTTTGCCCTATGCGAATATCCCAGAGTAAGAATGAGTTCTGTCTCTCTCTTATACTCCTCCGTCCTAACAGCATCCTTCTCCTTCTCCTCCAACCTTATGCTTCTACACCTTTTCTCGGCTATGCTGTATTTTCTATGTCATTACTTTCATTTCATCTGCAAGTTGCAAAAAGTAAAGGGATTTTTTGAAAGTGCCATATCGCAGTTTTATCTGTACCAGCGTGATACAGCTGAATTTTGAATTACTTTCGGAATTATTTTATCGGAGAAAGTTCACTTTTTCTCTCAGAGATGGCGCCACATATTGTGTGTGGAGATCAACCCAAAAGGATGTAACATTGGAAACTAGCCTTTAGAAACGCGCAGCAACAAGAAACACTAGCGCCACGGCTAGGCGTAGCGTTAGTTATACACAGTTATACTTTCGTACTCCTAACTACTTACCTCGCAGCATGGTTTTGTGTTCATCCTCGTGATACTGGAAAATAAAGAAACTACTTGTTAAAACATTACCTGTGTCATTTCGCTTGCCTTTTGACGTGTACATAAATAAAATATATTGTGGTGAAACTGCTTGTGCCCCCACATCCAAGAGGTGCTGCCCTCTTATCAGCGAAAATTCGAACTAATACGAATTCTTATATAAAAATTGACCCACTAAAGTTTCGACGATGCGATTCTCAAATTACACTTGAAATCAGTTTATCATAGAAGGTAGTATTGATGAAGAAAAGTGAAGTCAAGATATGGATAATGTGGCAGAGATGGAACGGAAATTAGGGCACAGCTAAAAAGGGGTTTCGCAGCATAAAGGAGGAGAAGGATGCTGTTAGAACGGAGGAGTGTACGAGAGTGACAGAACTCATTCTTACTCTGGGATATTCGCATAGGGCAAAAGAATATCAACGTGTATATGTGTTTAAAGATAATTTATTGTAAAAACGCAATAATGATACAGTATACAAAGTACAGACATACATACAGCTATACAAAGTACATAGTATACAAAGTGCAGACATACATACAGACATACACATACAGCCCGCGAAAGATTTGTAATAACAGTACAATTAAAGATATACTACATATATCACTGCTATATAATATACGTAGTTATACGCACTACGACGTTAATTTTTCCTTTTTCCAAAGGACATTTTAAAAACTTAGTTTTTAAGGATATATTAGGAGGAGAGACGCATGGAGATATAGAAAGGAATAGGAGATTCGAAAATTGAGTAGAAACGTTTAGTGATAGCAGCTAGGGAAGATGTTGTTGAAGGGGAAAAGAGGAAGATTGTTAAAAAGAAAGAGTGAAGAAGAGAGATGCTTATGACTGAGAGAACAACGGGAGAAGAAGACGCGTAAAGCGTATGCACGAAGACCAGATTATTCTGGAGCAACGAGAGAAGAGAACAGTGGAAAAAGTAGGAAAAGTAGGAAGTATAAGGGAGTGAAAAGTTCCGCGGAAAATGTCTCCGACAGAGGGTGACTTTATACTAGCAGGTGCTCAATAGCACCCGCACCTACCCCAAGTGAAGGAGACCCCCAAGCACAAGCACAAATAGGACTTTACCCAGAGTCAACGGACTGCCCCTCCGACCTCCCCACTGACACATAGGATCGTCTCTACCCACACAAGTGCCCAAGGGTCAACGACATGTTGGACCGTTTTTAGCAAAGCGAACAAATTATACTAAATACACGAGAGCTAGACACCTGGTTAGATTCACTATACGAAAGACCATGGCCGTAGATACCCTAAGGGGGCTCAAGGCCCCCGTCGGGAGACCCATAAGGTAATGTTGCGGCCACAACTTGGGCCACCAACCACTGAGCAAGCTCAGCGGATGAGGCGGAAGGGCAACCCCCGACACCATGGTCTTAAGTCCAGCTGCACTAACCAGATGCACTAACCTAAAACTAACTCTTATATGACTACTTGAATTAATATGCTCGACCCGACGAAAGGAATAGGAAAAGTAAGACAAGCACAATGGAAAGTGAGAGGGAACAGAGTGAAATGAGAAATTAGAAAGGAAGATAGAATTTAAGAAGTCAAGAAATAGAAATGTAAGGAATAGAGTTATAAAAATAGAGAAGAAATAAGGAAAGAGATAAGTAATAACAATGAGGAATGAAGGATAAAGAAATAAATATAGAAAAAGATAAAGGTTGAAAATGTATATGAGGGGTGTTTCCAAAGTACCAGTATAGGAGACTGGCTCGAGAAAGAATGAGCGAACGAGAAGACAGAAGGGAAAATAGATGTGAAGAAGTCAAATGTAGAAAAATAACGAATAGAGTTATAAAAATAGAGAAGAAATAAGGAAAGAGATAAGTAATAACAATGAGGAATGAAGGATAAAGAAATAAATATAGAAAAAGATAAAGGTTGAAAATGTATATGAGGGGTGTTTCCAAAGTACCAGTATAGGAGACTGGCTCGAGAAAGAATGAGCGAACGAGAAGACAGAAGGGAAAATAGATGTGAAGAAGTCAAATGTAGAAAAATAACGAATAGAGTTATAAAAGTAGATAAGAAACGAGGAAAGAGATAAGTGAGAAAGTAAAGAATGAAGGATAAAGAAATAAATATAGAAAAAGAAGAAGGTTGGAAATGAATATGAGGTGTATTTCCAAGTGACCAGTATAGGAGACCGGCTCGAGGAAGAATGAGCGCTCCGAGTCCGGGCCCTGCCTCGAGCGCCACCCACTATCCGCCTGCTCCCACTCTCAGCCTGCTCCGGCTCAACGAGTTCTGCGCGACGAATTTGCGCGCACACAATTTTGGGCAACTTTCAGTACTTCTAAATATGCTTGGCCAGAATTTCCGATTTCTGTGTTATTATTTTACTTTATTAATTTAAATAATTACTTTAATATTCCAAACACCTAATTTATTAATATTTCAATTTGAACGTTATTTATTTTCGATAATCTACAATTTCAATTCAATTTTTATGTACTCCATATATTCTGCGAAATCTTCATTTAGCCTCAATTTTATATTTTGAATAAATTCTCAAAGTAAATCAAGATCCAATAATATTCAATAAAAATTGAGATGCTACACGCGTGTCAAATTGGCACTGCACTTTCTTAAAAATGTGTTAAAATTGTTTCAACAATAGGCTTTTTCAATAGTTCTTGAGAAGTTCTGTAGTTCCCGGTCTCGTTCTAAGGGTTGAAGGATTGCTTTTGAAACCAGTGTTGAGTAGCGCAGAACCTCTGCTCGTCGAGCTACACGTTCGTGTTCACGTTTAGCTCGTCTACGACGGGATTCGCATTGTCGACGGAGGCGATGATAGCGGAATCCTACTTTCAGACTCGCCGCTACGATTTAGCGTCATGACTTTGGTATCGCCTAAAACCGTAGCGATGTGCATCTCCCTACTCATATCTCTTGTGCATCACCCTACTCATTTCTGTTTGCAGCTTGTGCTTAGTAGACAGGTACAGAAATCACAGCTTCTATGAGTTTGTAGATAATATCTGTCTTAAAAAACAAACAGCCATTAATTGAATCTGCTTTAATTAATGAATTGTTTACATTTTAGATGTATTTTGTTATTGTTTCCTGTAACATTATTTTATTTCTTTTGCAGTTGGAAGAAAATATTGTGTGCTCGCTTTGTTAGATTTCACAGATATTTTGGATTGTTAATAATTTTCATATGTGATATATCCTTCTTCATCATTATGAGTTTATAAATTTGAGATCTAATTCTTATGGTAAGGCGTACTAACTATTTAATTTTTAAATGGCAATCTTGATTCAATGATGATCAGTGATGCCAAAACAGATGTTAAAGAATGAAACACTATGGAGTATGAAAAGTCTCTAGAAGGATAAACATGGCCTCACGACATAATCACGGCGTACAAAGAGTTTTAGCTAAATTAGAAGCGTCAGTAAATTCGGGAAATTATTATGAAGCCCATCAAATGTACAGAACTTTATATTTCAGGTCAGAGGACTTAACATTATCGTTGTGTAAGCTTGTACCAATTTTTTTTATAATCATCGTCGTACTCACTTAACCTCTGCCTCTTAGATACCTCACCCAGAAGAAATATTCTGATTTATTGGAATTACTTTATAATGGATCAGTACTTCTTTTACAACATGATCAGGTACACATATCTTATATATTACTGATTTTTGTATTTTAAATGTCAATATGGATTACAGTATGCTAGTGGAGCTGACCTAGGAATATTGTTTGTGGATGTGTTATCACAATCTGAGACCAAGCCATCATCAAGTTATTTTGAAAAAATTACGGGTTTATTTAGTTTAATGAGTCCAACGTCTCCAGAGAGGGAAACCTTTTTGCAAAATGTGCTAAGATGGAGTTTAAAGGACACAGACTACAAAACTGGTCATCCTGATTTACATCAAAGAATAGCACAAGTATTCTGGAAAGGTAATAAATAATGAGCACATTATTATCCCGAACATTATTGAATTACTTAGATTTAATTTTCTCTTTCTTTTTTAATAGAAAAAAATTACATTATGGCTAGGCAACATTTCCTGCATAGTAAGGATGGCTCTGGTTGCGCAGCTATGTTGGTTGAACTTCATGAGCAACGTGGCTATTCGAGTGAAATAGACCTTTTCATTGCCCAAGCAGTTTTACAGTTAGTCTTGATCATAAAAACTATATAAAATTATATATATATATATATGTTTCAATGACTTACCAATACATTTATTTCAGATACTTGTGCTTACAAAATAAAGCAACAGCAGAAGAGGCATTCAACTCGTACACCTCGCAACATCCCAAAATAACTAAGGGACCTCCATACTTTTTTCCCTTATTAAATTTCTTATTCTTTTTGCTGAAGACTATTGAAACGTGAGTAAAATACATTGTACGGCAATCACTATATTCTTACAGTTCCCCATTTTCCTCTACCAAAAGAATCTTCATATTTTGTTATTGTTGCAGTGGCAAGCTAGCCATTTTTACAGTGCTTTGTGAGCAGTATAAATTGAGCCTTAATCGTGATCCATGCTACAGACAATACTTGGACAAGATAGGTCAACTGTTCTTCAATGTTCCACCACCTCGTCCACGTAGCCAGGGTCTCTTTGGTTCCCTCCTTCAGTCCTTCTTCAATGGCTTAGAGGATGAAGATTCAGACGAAGAACAGCGAAACACAGCCTCAACATCCCATGCAGCTCAGGAGCTCGATTGATTGACGGTTAGTCACTATTATATCGTGGGTGTGATGTGAACGACTGAAAGAGAACATCAACATATGTATAATAGTCCTTAATACTTTCAACACACACTGTTCGTAATAGGTTGTGTTGAAAGAATGTTGCATTGAATTCATCGGGTAGTAAAATACGAGCACGGTTACCAAAGTCCGGAGTGTCTGTGGGCGTGAATATTAGAAAAAAGAACTTTAACCTTATTCTGAATATACATATATGCTAAATTCAACATGGCTAACGGATTTTCATACTGATATTCATGTTCTTCAATAACGTATTGATTGATGATTATCAGATACACCTAACTCCACGGTTAAGGTAACTGCTCTAGTTTCCAGTCTAACAACAACGGTGGAGTTTCGTGGCAACCGAATAAACTTGCAGAAATTTTATTAAAACCATCCTAGATGACACAGGACATAATATATAACATAACATAACATAACAATCGAATTTAAAGCATTAACTTATATGTGGATGATATGATGCGTTCTGTAAAAAAAATTTTAGTCGAGTCACACTGAGGTTAAGATACTGCATTAAATTCAACAAATCGACTGTGACACAATACTGGTATTTTACTGGCAAGCCATTCTTCTCTGTATGGTACATTTGAACAATTTAAAAATTGTATATTCGTGTGTAACAACTGGATCGATATTTTATATATGCTGAATCGTGTGACAAATAAAATGAACAACGTATATTTCAAGCTGCCGATGGCGCGTGCTTCATTGAAATCGCTTATTGCTAAAAAATAACTTGTGCAATAAAATCATGTTTCTGAGCAATGAGCGATCAAAAATATATAAATATATATATTTGTTTAGATAAAATTGAGCCGGGCCAGGGTGATCGATACTGAGACGCGTGTAAAAATAAGCTCCGTATATGAAAATAATTGAAGTATCTGACAATTTATCAGAATAAGGTCATCAGAATCATGTAATGAAATAGTTTGCAGTCGTTATTATAACAGACGGTAAATAATATTATAACAAAGTGGTAAGAATAGCAGAAATGGATAATATTTAATTGGTATCCCGAATTTTGTAATTAAAGCGTTGAGATTTATGGATGACTCAACAGTGAAAAAAATGTACAAATACAATTGATTTTAAATTCACGAAGACTCATTTAGTACCGATCGATAAATCGTCTTCGAATATTCATCGGCGGGTTAGTATTTGTGCGCACGGTACCACACGAATAAATTTTTTCACGCTGCACTAACCACAATATATTTATGTACAAGAAAATATTAATTTCAAAGTTATCTTTAAAAGGAATAAAAAATCCCAAAATATCGATTATTTTGCCTTTATAACGTGAACGCGAGTTTCTACGAATAATAAAAGTTAGTCGAAATATCTGTTTTACAAAAAGGGGATGAAAGTTTGATGAAATATGAAAAATTTTATCGCCGCATGTAACAATACGCGATATACTAATCAATTAAAATGGTATTTGAAAAACATACACCTCTTCTTTGTTTATTCACTCAGCCCAATATACAACAATACGAAACATATAGCATCTATTTTTTGTTTTTTAAAAACATTCAAAATCTGTATATTCTGTATATTCTTCTTTGTTTATTCACTCAGCCCAATATACAACAATACGAAACATATAGCATCTATTTTTTGTTTTTTAAAAACATTCAAAATCTGTATATTCTGTATATTCTTCTTTGTTTATTCACTCAGCCCAATATACAACAATACGAAACATATAGCATCTATTTTTTGTTTTTTAAAAACATTCAAAATCTGTATATTCTGTATATTCTTCTTTGTTTATTCACTCAGCCCAATATACAACAATACGAAACATATAGCATCTATTTTTTGTTTTTTAAAAACATTCAAAATCTGTATATTCGAAAACAAAAGTCTTCTACTAGATTTTTAATCTTATGCACCTTATGCTAGAGTAATAAGGTATCCCAATTCTTTTTAGGGTACATACTTATGAAAAATAGAATGAGCAAGATATAAAAAATCGAAAAATAAGAAATTGTTTTGTATGATCCATGATAGGTGAATATTACAAATATTATGGAACAATAGATCAATAGATTGATAGATAGAAAAATGCAGTTTTAATACTTTTCAAGACCAGGGATCGAGAATTTTACAGAAAATTCCTGGACTTGCTGTCTAAGTTCTGCGACTTTCTTCTTAATTCCAGCATCCGTATCCAAAACCTTTTTGTAGTCAATGAGTTTTGGTCCAGAAATAGCAGATACTTCCTTGGAAAGTAACAAGCCTAAACAGAAATATGTTTTGTATGATAAGGTCTTTAAATATTATAGAGCTAAGAAAATTTACCTTTATGGATAAAATCGACCACCTTGTCGATATCCTCTTCTTTAAGTCCCCGGGTAGTCAGGGCCGGTGTTCCCAATCTGATTCCACTGGGATTAAACGCACTCTTATCACCAGGCACAGTGTTTTTGTTACAGGCAATAGAAATATCCTCCAAAATTTTCTCAGCCTTGGATCCGGTTATACCGTTCGGTCTCAAATCCACCAGAAGCATGTGGACGTCGGTGCCATCGGTACTGATCTTATAGCCATATTTTTGGAGTCCGGCGCAGAGTCTTTTTGCATTGGCAACAATTTGTTTTTGGTAGGCAATAAATTCAGGCAACATTGCTTGCTTCATTGTCGTGGCAATTCCAGCAATTGCATGATTATGTGGACCACCCTGTAGTCCTGGGAAGACAGCCTGATTGATTTTACTTTCGATATCATAAAGTATCTTCTCTCCATTTTTTCCAATACTGCGGACTCCCTTGCGGAAGAAGATGACGCCAGCACGTGGGCCTCTGAATGACACATTCTCCTTATATAAAATCCCATAAGAAATAATAAGAAATACAAATATTACTTGGCTCAAACCTTAAAGTTTTATGCGTCGTGGTAGAAACGACATCGCTGTACTCAAAGGGACTTGGAATAATTCCAGCAGAAACTAAACCGGAAACGTGAGCCATGTCGCTAAAGAGATACGCATTATTCTCATCGGCAATTTCTCTAAAGCGTTTATAATCCAAACATCTACTGTAACAGGAGATTCCTGCTATAATTACTTTAGGCTTGAATAATCTGGCTTCCTCGGCTAGCTTATCATAATCAATAAGCCCGGTAATGGGATTAACTTTGTATGGCATTGATTCAAAAAAGATTGAGGTTGCCGATATTTTTTTGTTCGCAGTGAAAAAACCTAGAAAACCGAAGAAAATTGTAGTTTCAAGACACCACTTCCGATTTTGGTATCAAAACGTGAAATGTACCATGAGTAAGATGGCCTCCGTCAGGTAAATCTAATCCCATAATACGTCCATGAGGTTCCAAAAGTCCAGTATAAACGGCAAAATTTGCAGGACTTCCTGAATACGGTTGCACGTTACATCCCCATTCTTCGGGACTTAGACGAAATGCCTCCAGGGCACGTTTTTGTGCAAGTATTTCGATCTCATCGATATACTCATTACCACCATAATATCTGCGATGGTTAATCAAAATTAGATAATTATGCCCTATTAAAATGAAAAACATTATGAACATAAAAATTATAAATTATAATACCTCTGACCAGGCAGTCCTTCACTGTACTTGTTATGAAGACAAGAGCTCAGACACTGAAGTACACTGAGAGATGTGAAATTTTCACTGGCTATCATTTCCAATCCAGATTCCTGTCTGTGCTTCTCCTTCTTCATCAGCTCAAAAAGTTCAGGATCCGTATCCCAAATATTTTGATGAATGATTGACGCCATCTTCTGTTTTTCAGAAAGTGTTATAAAAGATTTAACAAAGGACGAGACTTTATAGACATTCAGAATGGAATGTTCGTTCGCGAGTAACACTCATTTCAACTTTGCAGGCCTATTTATCAGGTTTCTGACATTAGTGAACCCAAATGATTGCAATCATCGAGTTAAAATGTCACGCGGCTGATAACCCACCGCGTGGTGCAATGACATATCTACGCTATTGGTACTAGCCACTTCTATTATTTTCCATGACTTATGAAGTCAAGTCTTAGAATACTTCCATTAGTTCTTAATAAGAGAGTACTGCTTTCACGTGTCAAAAATAAATGTATTAATTATTCAACAATTGGAGTAACATTAAGTGGACATGGTATACGAGGAATCAACAAGTTTCCATACACAAAAATATCAGTAGATTATTTTTTTTTTTAACACTTTGCACGGAATTCATTTTTGCAGAATTTCAATTGCTCACGAATAATGAAACAATAATTAGTTTGTTGAAAATAAATTATTTACTCACGTTCTTTGTATGCAAACAGTTGAGCGAGAGATGAACTTCTCCGTGTACAATCAATCGGTCTGTTGCTTGGCCTTGGGCTTCCATGCCTTTTATACTCTGGGCCTGTCTGCTTAACAGGTTACCGACCATTCGAAAGCCGCGTCGATTCAAATTCGACCAATTTCCAACCATGTTTAATTATCTTTCAAAGAGACACAAAGTAAGACTCTGCAAGTGCACCGTTTCAAATAATTATATAAAATTTATCTGGGCTACTCGCTAAAATCGATATACAAATTGCGAAAGTCATACGATAACCTATATTCTTGAGCAATCCCTTGAAAATTTTTAATAAATCAGTCAAATATTATCATTATACTTGTCGTGCATCGTTAAAACATTAATAATATTGTAGAAATAGTATTGAGACCTCTACAGGAGCCGTATGAATATAAATTCCTATAATTCCTTCACTATACAATTGATAAACTCTGTTCACTCTGTCTACTTAGTTGTGATTCTTCTTGACAAATCTGCCAAGAAAATGGCCTTTCTCCTAACGTGAGAGTTTCACGAACAAATAAACAAGCTGCACAGCTTCCTCTTGCATAATTCGTAGTTTCTTGTCAATCCAGTACGTACCGTACATGTGGAACGTTAAAATCAGACAAGCGCATGTGCAGAATGACTTACCGCCTAAGATTCCTTATTTTGAAGAATTATTTTCCAACGAGAATGTCCGGAATCTTCAAACTCACAAAAAAAAACATATGATACTGGACCTCAACTTTTATTGGACCACTAGGAAAACTTGCTGTTCCAACAGCTAATCCGGCGTTTATACACGAAAGAAATCTGGTGTTGATTCTACAATAAAATAAAATGAAAGAGAACGTGTGTTAGCAGTGGCTAGTAAACTAGAACCGATCGATAAACTTTCTCGCGTTACACGTTACACGAATCGCCATGTCGAGTACTTGTTGAACGACGACCATTCGAATTAACTTCATTTTTATCAAAAGGTCTAACCAATATCCTCTTATCACGTGCGACCTCGTAGCAGTTGCACGAGATCTGCTACATCCCTACAGATTATAACATATAGTGGAATTGTATCATACCTACCTCATTTGAATGTTTAGTTAAAAGGAATATTTATAAATCATTCAAAACATCTAATTTAATCTTAATCAATATCTTGCAATTTGTAAGACATAAATCTACTTTTAATAAAAATATATTGCCAGGGCAGCAAGTAACTCTCTCGTAATAGTGGCTTGGAAGTTTATCTCGTGTTGACATTTTGTTTACGAAACTGTTGATTCCACAGACTTCGCCAGTAATAGACGACAAACAATTTACAAAGATCCAGATAATCGCTAAGCAAACAAAATTATTTTTTACAGTCAGTTTCGTTCGAATATTTTGAAAAATGATCAAAATAAATCTTTATTTCGAAATTTATTGTATCATAAGACGCAGCAAATAAAATTGTTCTCTATTCCCTAATGGATTCGCATGCAATATAGTAACTGCATAGAAATCAAAGACGTTTACCACTTTTACGAACGAAAGATCCTTAAGAATTTTAAATAAAATCTCATTGTTTAGGTTTGAAACAAAGCGCAATTTACTGCAATAGCTGTTATCTGTATTCTTTACCACGTAACCACATGTGTCTATCGTACACACGTGATTCAGCATATATATGAAAAAAAAAACAATGTCAAAATTTGCTCACATATAATTTTGACACGTGATATATTTATGTAATAAGTATATATATAGGCAACTGATTATTAAGCAGAAATAGAATGTATAAATTTAAAGCAAACAAAAATAACAGTTTTGTTTCGGCTGGTGACACACAAATTGAGCTTGGACGGAGCTTAGGACAGAACTTTATTGTTGGATCTTTGTTCACTAGAATAAGCACTGCGACCTAGGAGTTAATAATTTATACAATTTTCATCCATTCTTATTTATCATACCACGAACAGCATAATCGTAATCATCCCTAGGTACGCGTAAAAGCCGAATGAACTCAGTCAATTATTCAAAAATTCGTAATGTCCAGTATACTTTGTAATTTATTGTTTCTCTTGCACAAGCCACATTACAGTGGCTGAGATTTGCTCATCCGGCCGATACTGATCGAGAGTATACAAGAAAAAATATTTTAAACGTAAAAAGAAAAAATGCACAATGCAAAATATACTCTAAAAGGATAAACAGATTGTAGCATCGAACTTTTTTTATCATCCAACGCAATGACGAATTCTTTGTAGAAATATCATCTTCAAGATCAAGACCAGTTAGAAAGAATGTTTGAATAGCATTTATATTAGTTTATGCGTTTTTTTCTCCTTTTTTTTCCAGTTGAGCATTTGGTTTTATTAGCGAATTTTTCATTCTTAAAATCGCCGTGAAACTTATAATTTTGTACACCCATGGCCAGCGATAATTTTACAAGTTTAAAATCATTATAGCAATTTACTTGGTATCGCTTAAGTTTTTCTTTTATTATAACATCATCTCTTCTCTCTTTTCTTTTATGCATTTTTATATTGCATAGCGCGCACGCGCACATGTATGAGTATACCGTATTCGTTTGTCCCTCTCGCATGAGTATGTGTGCATGCGATTCGGCCAAAGCTCAAGAATTTATGATCTGCAAATTTCGAATTTACAGTCAAAAGCAGTAAACCGTCTGCTGCGTCACATAGCTCAGAGTAATACAAAAATTCGTTATAATAATATTACATAGAACGCTCAGGATTGTTAATTCTTTTTTCTTCTTTAATTTTGTTACAATGATCGCTAAACGTTATCTAGTTGGACGAGACCGCACGAGGCGCGATCGCTTTATTTTATTGTTAATATCATACAATAATTTAAACAATCTTTTTTCTGATTAAATTTATGCAATTTTCTGCAAAAACAGAATGAAAGAAAGGAAACGTATTCAGCTTCGTTTTGTAATATTAATAATCATTATATTTTATCATCGACATCTCATCGTAATCATCGTTTTCTTTTTTCACCATCAGCATCGCTTAATGAAGTTGTTGGCAACGAAATATATATATTATAACAAAATGGTATTAATAAATCCATTGACAATCTCCTCGGTTCATCCTCGCGCACTGGCAGCTTGGGATATTTCGTATATATCATTAGAGGCTCTGGAAATTTGCCTCGCGTACTTCCTTGTATTATAATATAAAAGGCATTATTACGCATTAAATAAATCCATTCCTCCTCTCTTCATTTCACGGCCCTCATTATTTCCATGCAGCATCACCCTGCCATTTCCACATATGCCGAGCATTATCGCGTCCAGGGCTTGACGTAAGATTTTATTCGCGAGATAAAAAGATAATTCAGTAACTTCTAGAGAAAATGCAACAATCTAAGTAAAAAAAGCAACATACAATGCTTGCGAATAATCCTAACAGGGTCATCAAAATCATCCCCATTTTCAAATAATAGCCGATATTCTTTTTCTATAAAATAAAATCTAAAACACATTTTATTTATCGATTTTTTTAACACGCCAAAATTATCTATGCAACGTGTAAACAGAAAATGCAAAAAAAATCATCAGGTATTCTCCGACATCACGAAACGTGGAGAACGTTGATACATAAGATTCCAGCTTCCACATCGACGCAGGACTTTTCCAAAGAAAAACAGGGAAATTGTTTAATCGTGATTTCGAATACCAAATTCACTGGATGAAAATAACTGCTCGTGTACAAGCCACCGGACGTCAAGTGCGTTATGTAACAATACGCCACAGGAGAACAACCTCTGCCACATGTTCCTTGCCTGATGTGATATATTGTGTAATAAAAAACATATCCGTTAAAAAAATATAGCTCAGACATTACAGAACATCACAAATCCGTTTACTACAGAAAACCTATCAATCATACCCTACATTCTGAACAATGCATACAATTAGAGATCGATTAACTCCTGCGGATGAACTATGCAATATTTTTCTCTTGACTAAATGCGCAAGTAATCTCATTTTCTAAGAAAGCTGAATTATGGCCAGTTATTAGTACTAGACAAACATAAGAGGATCCATCAATGTAGTAGGATCTATCAAAGATCAATGGAACAAAGAGAAATGAGAAGGATCACTGGTTGGGAACGAGCACGTAATACCTTTGGTAACCATAGAAAGGATACTATATAAATTCAATAATCATAGATAATCCGGCCAAACCTCAGCATCTTAGTGTGTATACCCTCCCTCATAGTCTCAAAATCCATCTGGTATACGAAACTCTGAATTTACATTTTCTTCATTCTCAATATTTAACTCAATATCATTACTATATTATTTAAAATTGCTCGTTTATGTTACCGAAAAAATCGAACGCTGTAAAAATTAGCCCCGAATCATTGTCACGCACCTGTCTGTGGCAGACGTTTCTCTCCTCTTACTCGCATCTCCTTTTTATTCCTTTGATTTTTTTTCAACGTTTTTCATTTTCTCTTCTTCGCCCCATTCTCATACGCGCTCTCTCTATCTCTCGCTTACTTTACAAAGAGTCGTATAAATTACGTGTTCTGTGTGTAATATGTGTCTCGAATATGTGTGTGGGGGGGGGGGATACGA